ACGCACGCACACACACGTACAAGTGCACATCACATCAGTGCGAGTAGCATAGTGGTTTTATTAAGTGGAGGATGGAGGGGCTTTGATGCTTCTCATCAGCTTGCAAAGTGACGGCAAAACCAACTCTAAAATGTGGAATTGGTTGCGCATTGCTTGAAGGCGCGAGGCAGAAATGACTGCGGATGCTCCAAGTGACACCGATTAATGCGACACGAAGTGGTTGTTGATGATAGGCTATGGGGATATGACAAAGACCAGAAGGAAGGAGGGTTGTTTTCTGCTTCTCTTTCCCACCTTGACGGTAATTATAAGCAGTGCTGTGTAATCGCACTCTGGACTTATTGGGTAGACAGTTAAAATGTGAGAGGGTGGTGTGTTTGCGAGTTGGTGAGTGGAAGGGTTGAGTAGAAGGTGGTGCAGTCGAGGTGGGCGCGACAAAGTAGCCGTTTCTGGGCCGACGGCAGTGACTTGAGTTTGTCAAGGTGCCGCTGTCGAGGATCGACGGAGGGAGAGATGTGAGGCCGAAGTTAAGATAGAGGAGGGAAAAGTCTTAAGGCTGTATTGGCATTTTTGTTGCCACAAACCAAAGCGCGACATGCGTAGCGTTTCATTGTTATTGAATGTTTGATTTTGCAAACTACCAATGTAGAAGAGCGATCACACCAGCTGCGATTAACAATAAGAATCCGTGATATGACCCCTTTGTGGAAAAGCAAAGGTGTTCGAATTGGAGAGCAAGATTGTAGTGCGACTGTTCTACACTTGTCAAGGTCAGTGTTTGTTTACCCTGACCAAATCGAATTTGGAGTAATTTTTTACTGCACTTAGTATGAGTACCTGGAACGCATGCTAAGAAGCGCAACAACCCACTTTTATGGTCTCCTTAAATACTGCGTATGATTTTCTATTTACAAAGTAAAGGGCCGATCGTATCGTTCTACAATAGTGCTCTCTAACACGAAGGCAGCACGTGCCCTCCCGTGCGTGTTTACATGCTTGTAAAGTGTAAATAACTAAACAGCTGCACCGTCTCACCACGGTAAGATCTTTTGGATGCGTCAAGGGGTGCTGAGATTCCGTTTCCTTTGGAATTAGCTAACCTCCTTATTTCTCAGTTCGCACTCCATATTAGCAATAACGGAGAAAAGGTTTCATCTATTGCAAGGCAGATTTAAATCGCTATACAAGATTGCCACAGAGGAGAGCACTGTGTTACAACGTTGCACTGACAAAAGTAACAAGCTTCTTGATCTTGACTTTTGCTGCCTTAATGCAGTTGAAAATAATAAACTTTCCTTTAGACCACACAGCCAGGCAACCATAAAAAAACCCATCTGTCATTATTTTTTTGTCCATAAAATAGTGCTGACTGGGCATTATAAATATCACGAGTGCTTAACCAAATGAGTATTCTAATTTACGTAAAAGAAACAACACCAGAGGAGGTGTGAGTGCGTTCCGAAACCCAAGATGGATGAACACTATCTCAAATGTACAATTATCGAGAAAAAGTAACACCATAAAGATTGGTAAAATTTTGTACCTAAAATTACGGAACCAGGAGCATTAAACTTACATATTCAAGAGGTTCAAGGTCAGTTGCTGTAGGTGGATTAAGAATATCCGAGTTCCTCCCATAGCTTCTTTCCCCGCCCTCATAGTGACCGTTAAGGAAGGGACTTGTCTTGAAAGGTACTGGAGCAACCGCAGTTGAACCAACACCCGCCATTGGAGGTGAAGACGTTACCTGACGCCGTTTGGCGGTGGGCACGGTGCGCCGCGTTTTGATCGGCCCGAAACGAGGTGGAAATTTGATACCGCCACGACCCCCACTGGTGGTGGTTGTTGTTTGACGCCGCAGATCCGTCTCTGTAGTCGTGGAGGACTCATTGAATGGGCCTGTTATTCCCGAAGCTGGTGAAGGTAAAACTGGTGCTTGTCTAGAAGTCATTGGATCCGATGTCAGCAGTGCTTCCTTTTGCAACCGACGCAAGAGACGAGCTCCAGCGTCCTTTAACAAGGAAAATAGCTTTGTTGCCTCAAAGGGTGAAAACAGCACTGTGCCCGCAGAAGGTATGTGTATGTGAAGCAGTCATGGGGTGGAGGCAAGTGCTTCAATTTAACGAATCTACCGAGTGGCATTGTGACATCATTGCTACTGAAGTGTAAAGCACGTTGACAATGGACAACCTAAGGTATAAGAGAGATTAAAATTGTGACTCCAATGCATGTAAACTCTAAGCATTTCGGCTCTAAATCAAACCCGTTAAGAGAGAATAAATGACAGCAAATTTCCTTGGCACTTACTGACACTGCTAACAAGTATCAATTTGGCACTAATGATGTGATTAAAAAGAAGATAAAGGGACATTACACTCAAAAGGTAACCGTTTAAAGAGCGAATAGAGAATAGGGCTTCTGAATACAAAGTTAAGGATTGAAAGAAGAAAAAACCAAGGTAAGGAAGAGGGGAATACGCTGCTGGCAGCCTGATAGAGGAATGAGCAAATTGCAGCAGCAAATTTCAAACAAAAAAAAATCGGATAAACCAGACCCATTCCATAAACACCTCTATGCAGGAAATCGTTAAAACCAATCGTGAAGGTGTTGCTGGATCTTCATTATTATCACCAAGACAAATTTTTTTTGCACTCCTCATGTCGAATTGTAAAAAATAAACAAATGCTTGAGCTGTTGATGGTAAAATGAGCTCCATTTGTAAAGTAGGACGACTTAGTGTGCATTAGGCTATGAAGACCTTCGATTACAATAAAATGGTGGAGTGACCAATCCGAGCACGGAGAAACCAACATACTTCTACGTTCTTCCACAAAGGACCCCAAATAAAACTCTCCAAATGACTTTCGTCATACTAGTACTTTGAATAATTGATTCTTGATAAAAATTACTAATGTATCACAAATGACTAATGAGCATTATTAAAGTGTCGAAGATGAAAGATACAAAAGGAAAAGCTATGGAGTTAGAGAAGAATGAACACGTTCCGGAAATAATTGATTGTGTCGAGCAGGAGCATTCTTAGAAGAAACATTTGCTCTGAATGCCTTCAGTCACATTCGTCCCACCATGTGATATTTTACTGTTAATAATCCTTAATGAATGATTGCAATTTACTAACGTATCAACAAGATTGAGGTGATTTGGATTGGCGAAGTAAGAAGCATCAATGTGAAACTGATGATTGGTGACATTCCAGTGGACCAGATATCAGCAGAGGATGTGGAGTTGATGGCAAAAAACTCTGAGGAATGAGCGAAGCGACTTATATTCCTCTGTTTGCGATTTTATAAACAGTGGTCATTCGATAGGCCCAATTTGCACTTTTGTTTGTAACAGTAAGTGAACATGATGGTAATCAACTTTTACCTGTCGAATCACATCAAGGCGAGGCTAAAAAAAATAAGAGGCCTTAAAAGCACCACATTTTCGATAAACAAGTTAGGAAAAAAGAGGGTGAGGTTTTGATGCCACAATTCTGACGTCCACGAATTATGAAAACCTTCACGTTCTGCAGGAACTTGACGGCACATGAAGCGATTAGACCATTCACGAAACAGAAAAAAAAAACTGGTGATGGTGGACGGTGAACTGGCTTGACTGTTCACAAAAAAAAATTACTGGACCGATATAGGCTGCAATACGCGCACCACTCCGGCTTAAACTAAGGTGAAAATAAATAAACTGCCATAAAGATCGGATAATCAGAGAACTAGCGATGCTAATATACATAACCATGTAACCGAAACGCTAGATAAGCTAGTCGCCAGATCAAACCCTGACAGCGCAGCTGGCATTCATAAAAGCGGAGTAAAGAGCGGTGGGAGGCAGCAAGCTAATGATGACTAGGAGAGATAGAGGATAACAGAAAGCAGCTATGTGGATATGTAATTGTGCGTGTACACCTACACAGTCTGACCTAGAGGAATAAAGATAGATGATAAGGGAAGACGACAGGGAGTACGCACCCATCGAGAAAACTCATTGATGCTGGTTATGCAATGTTTTGCAGTGCGACCAATAACAATGATGCCAGCATCCTGCCTGATTCGGTAAAAGACCAACCTCATCCGATTTTAAGTTCATTTAAGCTTGACAAGAAGTTAATTGTACATTGTCCTCTTTAAGCCATTGTCCTCTGAGCCAAGTTTCCAGGTATCTTTGGAAACGGGCTCTCTTGAAGATATTTTCCGGAATAGGAGGGAGATTCGCAAGCCAGACTGAACGATATAGCTGCTGATACCATCAGGAGAAGTGCGCCTTTGAAGTGACCTTTTAGAGGTGCGGCATATCACTCAAATGAATTGCAAATTTATGCAAGAAATCCGAAGTCCAAAACCCAAGACTCGTGAACTTTCTTCCGAACTTCCTTCATGCATCAAATTTTAGAATAAAGGCAAAGTATTTAACACATTTACCACGTGTGCACACACAAACATTTCAAAGGAGAGGAACAAGGGGAGTCGCCTAATGCGCGACTGGCAGAGCCACTCATCCAACATCAAGCAAAAAAGCGCGGTAAATCTTGGCCGGAAATATTGAGTGACTAGAGCAATGGCGGCTTATTAAATGCATTTCCTGCGACGAACGAAACAAAATTGCTTGTAATGTCGTCTTGTTTTGGAGAGGAAATTCGGTACGTGCCAAAAAGGCACATTATTTGGGAGAAAATTTAACAAATTTTAAAGTATGTAAAAATGATGTACCTACAATGTTTTGATTGGACAGAGAGATAACTTCAAGCAAATGCATAGTGAAATATTGCAGCAATTCCAGCACTAATGAGTTAAATTAAGCAGTAGATTTTCTCAAGACTACTAGAACGACGTTTTGAACGTAAGTTTACTGGAATTAGGGAGAAGAGGGAGGAAAAGAAAGGGTGAGATAACTTACCAGACTAAGAGTCTCCTCAGAGCTACCAGTGTGGCCAAAAAAGGGTCGAATAGAGGGCCGCGGAACGCTTTGGAGGGAGCCCGATTCAGCTGTGCCTCCCGTGTCAAGATCCGAGTCTTCGTCCACATCGCTCACCGCCTCTATTTTATCAATCTCCTCCCAGAGGTGCAACGTCGTGCCCGTGTCGATATCCTGAAACGAGGAATCAAATTAAAAGACGTAGAGAGACAAGAAGTCCGAAGTTGCCACTAAATTCTAACATTAAGTAGTAAAAAGGGAGAAACACAGTTCCGCATCCTAATTTGCTACAATTGAAAGGAGGGGATGAATTGCCTTACCCGACTTGAAAATGTCAGTTCACCGCGTTTTTGTACAATACAAAAACTCAGTAATTAGCACGACTGAATGCACAGCTAGAGGCTGTAGTTATAGCAGACATGCAGGGCAAAATGGCTGCTATTCACTCGCATAGCCAACGAAAGCCTGGTACAAGCGCTTTTGAATTAAAAAAAAATATGGGCTTAATTAAAATGCTAGTAAGGGAAGGAACTTTGATTATATCACCAAAACGGTGATGGGCAAAACAAGCGCTACCCAATAAAGCGCAAATAGGTCCTAAAATGGTGAATACTCATCGTTTGGGTGAGAGCAATTGTTTGTGCTTTTGTAAGGACAAGAAGCAGGAACGCTGGAAGTAATCAGTCATTCGAGGACTCGGGTTGAACGAAACGCCTCTCCCACTTCCAAAAGTCCTACTTAAATTGTTTTGGATAGGATCAAGTACTTTTAAACAGTAAAAGCAGATTAATGGATACAGACTTTCTTAATTGAGACAAAATTCTAACTTAAAAGTTTAATGCAGGTACATCAACAACTCTATCAAAGTCCACACACATCCAATCTTTCCCTATCAAATTTACTACCACTTAGGGAAGTGAGCTTGGAACTTGAGGGAGAACAGTATGCATATAATGTTGGTGCCTTTTAGACAGGCGGACTAAACCATCTCCATGTAAAGATCAGACATCTTAGGTGACAATGAAACTATTAAATGCTCCCGTTAGGATACATTTTACCAATGAGAGAGTAGGAGTTTGGAATCCACCAGTCTAGCGATGACCAATCCAGCTACACTAGTTGACGGTTGTTCCCACTTGGACAACCACCAAGAGATCCTCTCAAGTAATGGTGGCGTTGAATGGAATATACAACTTATGGCTTTGGACCTGTGAAATCGCCAAATATAGTTGTACCCTATTTGGTGGTTCTGATACAAGGGTCTGTCAACTCAACGACAGATCACGTTCCTCGGCCCAATACTAAGGGATGATGAAAGTTAGGAAATCAACGAAGTCACACACACTGAACTTCTCGGCAGTCTTTTAAAATGAAATGCCCGAACGGATTGGAATGCAAAAACATCCTTTTGGAGTAAACACATCTCCTTAACCTGAATGCCAAATGTCAATGAAGCGTCTCACCTCCCAGCAAACGCGAACGTTGGTACCCAAACGCTGCTATTCACGCAAGGCATAGTTGATACGGCGAAACCAAAACTTCACAGCACAAAGATCTCGCCAACTAACATAATGAAGTAGAATGAGCTACAAAAATTTGGTTGGCGAGAGCCTATAGATGGTATATACCCCCGTTATCAACTGGCTATCCCACCACCCCATGGGAATTGACTAACATGAATTTTGAATGGGAGTTTGGAGAGGTATATGCATTAACACGATTCAAAAAGAAGAAACACTCACCTATGATGCCTAAGAATCCCTTCGAAGCCCAATATATAGAAGATTGATCAAAGTAAGAACCAAATCCGACAACTTATTAGCACCATAAGAGTGTGAGGACTTGGGTCACCTTCCACAGTACTTAACTCTGTGCATAAAAGAGCAGTCAATACACGACGAGTATCAATTACTGGCAAATAAACACTGAGATGGTGTTTAGATGCCTTTAGCGATCGCGTGACGCTAAAAAAGATTTAAATCCTCGAACTTCAGACACGTGCTATGTCTCCGGCCCCAATCATACGCATGTAAAGTCTTGAGCTTTTATACGATTCAGGTGTCACACAAATGTGACGTCTTTCTTAAAACCATTTCACAACCAACTAATTTGTTATCTCTTTCAACACATATGGAATCCTGTACGAATAGTGTATGTAAGGAACGCTCTTTATGCCTTGTCAAGATTCCAAGTCTCGGTCAGTTCTGTAGCAGCAGCACCAATTTGCTAACAGTACAATCGAAACATCAAGCCATGGAGGCTTAGTTTCCTCTGAAACGCCGGTGTTGAACACGGTAACCTAGTAGCAGAAGCGTAAGAGTGAATTTGATGACTAACCCTACTATCACATTTGCATGGAATTAACATCGTACGAGTGATGCGAATGGGAGTTAACCCTTACTCGTACCATTAACAATCCCAGCTAGTAGGGCTAACTCTATTACATCAAGAAAGAAGTGAGCTATACAAAAGGCAGAACCACCTGCACCGGTCCGCACACGTTTGGACCGGTTGTACCTTGGATTACCTCTTTCAAAAGCAAGAAATCAAACCCAAGTGTCTGATTTTGGTAATGAATGGGACATATTAGGATTGGTAGCACCAAAAAAATTACTAATGTGGAAAATCTAATGTTACCAGAATGTGCTGCAAAGACATAGAGCACACCGGAACAAGACTTCGAACTGGATAGTCAATAAAGTGTGATTCATGCAAAGCCATTATCGAGAGGAAGGACAACATAGTTGAGACACAAATTAGAATGGCGTATAGTTAACTGCGCTGCAATCTCCCAAAGACAGTAAACCTAATCTAGGAGTACGCGGTATTAAAGGCTAGCAGTAATTTAGAGGAAGACTCACCTCATTAGGATCAGCCAGTTTGAGCCGCTTGAGGAGGCTAATAACTTTTTGCTTGATTTGCTGTAAAAAGTGAGAAAGGAATGGTTAGTAGTGAGCTATACACTTAAAAAAGGCACGAAAAATGCCGATGGGGAAGGTAGATTTTCGCCGTCTGGGCGAATGCAAAAGGCTCGGCATTCCTTTTGGATGAATAACGTTCCACGAAGTGCGCAAAATGAAGTAAATGTTGAAAAAATCCGATTGACTTTTCGTGACTTAAAACAAGATGAATTAGAAGGTAGGCCTATCAGATTAGCCAGGTTGGCAAAAGCAAGGCTGCATGAAATTGCCACTGATGATTTTCCATTCTTAAACGCGCCCTAATTGAAGCTTGGGACGCCTGTTGAGATGATTATAGAGCACCACAGGTTCTCATTTGAAAGCATGAATAAACTCGCATGGGATTCAGAAATATACCTAATGGTAATAGAAACCCCACCAGCTGCACCCACAGGCAAAATGTAGAGGACAAGGAAGAAGGCTTCTGCGCAATGCGCCAATAAACACGAAATCGCCAAATCTCAAAGTTTCTACGGGGAAGATGCGAAATTGCTCTGAACTTTGACCGAAGGTGTCGAAACCGAAGCAGTTGATGCTACCATTATAAATTGATGCTGAGCACGGTGGACATAGCAATAAGCTCCTGTCACGTTAATGTGTGCATGGCAAACAAAGCCATCGCATGTTATTCGAACAGATGAGTCAATTCGCTGGTGTACCACAGCTATGACTGAGGTGTTGTTTAAATTCAACCATGAGCTAGAAATTTAAGTTACTTGGAGAGGTGATATCACGATCAGACGGTTTCGGCAAAAAAATGATAGAGCACCACGTGCTAAACCGCAAGTGAGTAAAACCAATGCACGCCCTCGTCCTGCATCTCACACACACACACACACACACACACACACACACACACACCTTTCGACCCTTTTTTCCCAAAGTGGACTTGCAAAGCAACAAAGGAAAGACGTGAACTCGCAAAAGGATATTTGCGAAAAGGAAGGGCAAATTCCACATAGTCAAATGCATTGGAAGAAGAGAACAAATATCTCGGCTTTTCAAGTAATGGTACGAACAGGCAGGCGAAGAAGGAAGTAATTTAGTGATTTGCAACGGATGACGGAAAGCAGATGAAGTCCTTTTTCAATATTGATAATGACAAACGAATAAAAAACACTTTTGTTACAAATAGACGATTCAAAACGTGTTTGGATCTTCTTTTTCAATCAAATTTGGTGAAACTAAAGTAACGAAACCGCATAGCACACAAAATACAAGATTTAGAGCCATAAGGGGAAAAGGAAAGGACAATGCTTTTACTAAAATATTCAACCCATTTTCAATCTAAATTTCCCTCTGGCTTCCTGAAACATCGGAATGCAGACACACACACATCGGAAGATTCATTAGCTATTCACGGACACAAAAGTCCTGAGGGCAACCTTTGCCATATCGCCGATAAATTAGCCGTTGCCGTTATTACAGTTTGACGAGTGGGAGGAAGACAGTAGAGGGAGAATGAGGAATTGGAAGGAAAAAGGAAAAAGAAAAGTATCAACGCAAAGCACTGAAACAGGAATGCATTCAACTGTTTAATGCAAAAACAGTTACGGTGTGCCAAAGTAATGAGAGACAGTAATGGAAAAGCTCTTTGTCCTTAATTGCAAAGAAACAGTGTTGGCGTAACAAAGGTTTGGAGGCTATCCCGCTGCCGATATTTATTTTTGGGTTTTTTTAGGTAGACCAAAGACATGTTTCCAAGATCTGAAATGATCACAACCTTGCTTAAAGTAGGCAGACAAGAGTTTTAAAACGCCAGAAAAATGGTTCCCAATGACAAGATATCAGAGGGCCCCGTACCCATAAAACAACTCTACAAGCGGTAACAGTGCCTCTTGTGAAGGAACAGAAGGCTTAAAACAGAAACAATGCAATGAAATGGCGTTAAATAGCGATTTACTACAGCAACGTTAAAGTCGGATATGCAAAAGGAGGGCAGATAAGCTAGAGTAAAAACAAGTTCCACACAAGTAAAATAAAATCTCTAATTGCAGTTCTGTCTGATGCAAAGATACCGGAGTGGCTTTAAACAGGAAAAATAAGTGGAATCGGCAACAAATCAAGGTGCTTACCCCAACGGACATAGACTTGAGGACCTTCTTCTGACCACTGCGATCAGCGATGGCAGTAGCCGTGGAGGTTGAAGACACCCCACCGACATGCCCACAACGACTAGCCTCAACGTCCTCCATGTCCACCTCCTCGTCACTGTCTGAATCGTCATCCGCATCGTCTGAGAAAACGTCTGCAGGCAGTAGGCAGCCATCCTCCAGGAACCCATCGGATTCTACCTCACCTAGGCATTGGGAAGGCGATTATTTAGTAACACCAGGCGCTCACCACTGTCGATAGACCATAGTGAAATCAAATACTTTTCTTAGGCTCATAATACATAAAATCAAACCCCATGAAATGTTCCATCTGCAAAAGCATGGACAACTTCTTCTAAGTGAAGCTATTCTACCCGCCAGTCTTCAGCCGTCCAAAATTTCCGTAACCCCCTCACTCCTATTGTCTAGTTTACCTCAAAAGCAAAAAATCGTTCTGAAATAAAAGAAACTCGATTGAAGAGAGGAATGTTGAAAAGAGAGTTGTTCACTTCCTCACATTTCTCTGTTTCATTAATGCGGCTCAACATATGAGCAAGCCAGTAAACTGGATAAGGTTTGAAAAAGGCGTTGTCAGTGTGCCGATTTTCGCAGAAAATTGGCAGCCGCTTCTTGCAAAGGTAGGCCTCGTGGTAACTATTGTTTACTCATTTCTCAGATTATTATTCAGCCAAGTCGATGGATCACCCTTCTTTGATCTAGAACACAAAAATTCTCGCTCTCTTCGTTGATCTTCGCACTTGCCTTTTTTTACACTGGCGCAGAATTAATTAGGTTGCTTCATACTAAAGGCGCTCGAGCTAGCCTGAAGATCACATTTTATGCAACTCAAGTCATTTCACTCGATACTCCTCCAGAGGTGAACGTTGAAAGCCCTTCCCCTTCCGTCCGACGTTCTATGCCTAGGCTATATTTCTTTCGCTTTAAATTACGATTAAAGAGAAGTGATTGCAAAACTTCGAGTAGTTGAACTGCTATTCAGCCAAGAAAAGTGCTCCAGTCACATAAGCAAAACTCTCAGAGAAGGAAAAAATAGAAGCCCAGAAACCAATTCGAACCGACTTCTCGATAAGCAACACAATCAAGGGGTTTTTGAGAATCATGTGAACATTCACTAGACATGGGAAAAACTGACCATCTTCACGTCGTCTTTTTTAAAAAAGAGCAAGAACAACACTTCGTTTGGGGCGCTTAACACTAACATTGATTGTGTGTACTTAAGACACCTATCGAGGACGATATCCTATCAAAAGATTAATTGTAACCGAAGGCAATTGCATGTGTTAACTTGCGGATGGGGCAATGTCTTCTAATGACAACAGAAATCAGAACTGTCAAAAAATGCCATTCAAGCCACTACGAGCCGAAAAAATACACGCAAAGATAACAAAACCATCGTCAAACGATCTAAGAGACGGAACCCCATTCCCAATGTTACTCTTTTCACAATTGTTCAACAGGTATAGGCCGTACGATAACGTACATTGGACCGAGTAACAGGTGATCTGTGGTGCTTGTTCTCGAGGAGGCAAAGTGTGCCTCCTATGCCTCCTCAATTCAAGCATCGAATACTACCAAAGGCCCAGTGTAATGCACTTTCCATGTAATGGATCCAATGGCAAGGGCACTTAAACTAATGAAGTTGATGTTACAGTTCAGTCAACCTATTAAGTCTCTGTCAACAAAACGTAACAAATGTGAAAGGGTAATGGGTTGTCGAAGAGCAAGTGTGGAACACTAACACATGCACACCCAAAAACGATTAATGATAAATGGAGGACCAGAGAAAATGAGCCCGTGGGTAACTGCATGAAGTGCTCTGCAAGTTCTTGTGCATCATCATATTCACGAAAAAAGAGTCAAATTTATAGTCACAAATGGTGCAACAGTGTGAAACGCACAGGTAACCAAATAACTTTAAGTGGTTTTGGATCAAAATTTGATTACAATGGAGAGCATCCTAGAACGCATTTATGAATAAAATAATACCTGCAGCGATTTGGATCTTGCCCAAAATGTGTGAAGGCTTGTTGTCAATTCTAGACCTGGTCAATAGAAGCTAAGTGAACATACCTGACCCAATCTGCTCGTTGCTTAGATTACCAACCTCTACTTCCCAAATTCCTCTGCATTTTTGCTTGTGTTAATGCGACCTTTCAACGCTGGTGCTAAAAAACGCGAGACGCGCCCCAATCTCATTAGATTGTAGGAATGAAAATTCAGAGGTTAGAGATGAAGAGGAGGCACTAAAAGTCCCCTTTCGCCCGATATGCACCCTCCTCATCTCAAGGGTTAAATAATCTAAACGGTTGACCCGATCGTCTAATAATAGACATCTTCACGCCTTCGGGGTGCAACACTCTGCTCTTGAACATCTGAATCGCTTTGAATTAGACCATGAAAAACGCCTTCACTATCTTCTGACAACGCAGCAGCGTCCATCTGAATGCGCAGTGTCCTCCATTGTGCGCGACGGTTTCTGACACTCCTCCCTCCTCCCACCCCTCCTCTATGGGATCAGGCCACTTAACACCTCCCTCTACCACCCTGTCCTCCTCTCACCTCACGCTGATGTACAAACAGACCGACCCATTACCCACCTTACACATCACCACAAGCTCTTTTTGACACCTCCTCCAAGCCATTGTCTCCTGCCATTGGTGACAGCATGCGTACATCTATCCCAATCAAGGCTGATCGCCTCGAACCCAACGCATCCAACTCTGAGTCGGTGATTCAGCACCGGAGGTCACTTTTTGGTCTATCGAAGGCATCTGGTTGTGGGCGGACATTCCGTTGCGGCAACGCCACCGCCTCCTCCTCTGCAAATGTTGTGTGAAAAATGTCACGGAAAGTTAGCATTTGCAGCTTTTTAGCCGAGTTGAACTGCATTCGTAGCCCAACATACTCGGTTCACTTCCGGCAGCTTCAACTGACATTTCATTGTGCCCCAAGCAAGAGAAAAGAGGTGCAGAAAACGATTAGATATAAGGCACCAGTAGGACTAGGCGGTCCCACTTCTTCATAATGCTTACTTATACCTTTTTGCGACCGGATGTACTTTGCGAGTCCCTACAATTTACAGCGTCAAGGAACATTTGGCGCTAAGATTGAAAAAGGCCCGATCCATATACTATTGTATAAAGAAAATACGTGGCGAGGCGAATCAAGACAGACTATACTATGCATTGATCGCAATAAGTGACAGTCAAAATTAGAATCTTTTCAAATACTTTTTTCCAGCCCTTAAATGATGAAATCAATTTCACAACACGATTTAGATGGAAGGAAGAGTTGCAGTTTTAGAAACAAAAGAGGCAGAACCACGAGAGAATTATTTTCAAACTCACACACGAAAGCAATCGAACGGTAAAAGGGCGGAGAATGAAGGCGAGGCAAGTAAGGAATCATGGCGTTAGCAACAAATATAATGGAAGGTGTAACCTACTAATATACGAGTCCTCACCGCTTGTGGGGGAGGCAAATGAGATGCGTGGGAGTAACTATCTAGTCAGCCAGAAGGAAAACTGAAAAGGATAGTCGTGTTATTAGAGACGTCTGCTTGCCGGAGAGAGACAGTGGATAATTGACAGACAAGCAGATTAGTGCAAGCCAGTGACCTTTACTCCTCCCACAATCCAACCGACACCTCGTGAACCACAAAAGCTTGCTGGTGTGAATAACTACCTCAGTGAAGGCAAGTACGCTATAGACGAAACGAGTGTGGAATTTCGATTTATATTGCAAAAAAGCTTGATCCTTTTACTCAGATGGATTCCATTCTATTTTTTTAGTGGAAATTAATACTACATGGACAGAATATGAAGTGAATTTAAGGACATTTTGTGAATTTATGCAAAACAGAAGGCGCAACCGAATCTCAAATTGGGGCAAAAACTGAGCGTTCATGCGTCAATGAAAATGCCAGAGGTGACAGGAATGCGAGTCGAAGGACAAGAGATAGATGTGGGCAGCATTCCCCCTTCATCCCCTCCTAAAATCACGGTGGGCATTGAGGCGATTCAGCATTTGGGCCAACAGCACATGAGGAAATGCCGTCAGATCACAGGGACAGTTCCGTTTCAAGAAGGACGAACGCGTGCACATAGTATGCAGATAAGGTGCATTTCATATCCTTATAGATAGTTTGAATGAAAGTGGCCAATAATTTTTTTGAATTAAAAGTCGATTCAGCAAGGCGAAGTTATAGAAATGCACCCTTCGGCAGAACTAATGCCGATATTAAGGGAGAAAGATGGGCAGTTATTGGCGGGTGAAAGGGTGTCAACCAACCTTTATTTCCAGGATTGATGGGGTCGCGCTCCCAAGGTAGAGTGGAGAGACAATGAACCTCTATGCGAGCGATCGCAGGCCCAACGCACTTGGGATTCGAATGCATGCTGAGAAAGCGGTGTTCAATACGACGTTGCAGAACCTTAAAAACAAGACTTAATTAGAAGCCAAAAGGGCACTTCGGGCACGCCACCCATAACCCTGCTACCTCTAGCTGGATCCAAATTTGCCAGTGGGACAACAATATTCGCTTGCTTAACTCATTCGCATAAAAAGCGCGAGTGCTAAAAGCTAAAACAGTTTGAGATGTGGTTTCAGCATTCATAATCAGAAAGTGACTAAAGACAAAATGCAATATCGAGTGAAAGACAAAGCTTCACGTGCTTAAAATGCTCCTATTTTTTAATATAGGGCCCACACTTTACGCCTATAACAAACAATACGGACTGAGGTCGAAATGACATGCAAATAATGTACTCCATCGAATAATCAAAGGTTCGGACTTTCGTATCTGATTTTTCCGTGGGAAAATGGTAGAGACCGTGACACAGACAAAACATAGGTTACGAGCCCAAGTAAAAGCGGAAAGCCTAATTCATTTAAACACTCCAAAGTATCAAAATCGAAGTAATACTAACCCTTTAAATTATGTCGGGAACGAGTAGGCGCTTGAAGAGATAATAGAGCTGAAGTTAATCAAATCTTAAGACTCGATCCAATGTGGAATGCGATAAACATCCTATTTTAGGAAGTGAGTCGGGACCACATACTCAAGGCCTAAAATGGCAGATGTGAAAGGGTGTTGCCGCGTGTACAATTAATCAAACAGAAATAGTGAGTCAGGGTTTATACACGAAAACTTTTCATCGTGAGTGATGCTGTTCCAACCATCTCGGTTCCTAAATCACACACAATTATGGACTGGAGATGTGCGAGGTATGGAGGGGAACGATTCCACCAACAAAATAAGCATATAAGACAATAAAGCAACGGTAATTACAAAGTGAGGAAGCAAGTCTGCAGAAAGTACTTAGCTACTAACCCTAAACGCCCAAGATACAAAACAAGAAACTCGATAAGGAATAGCATCATAATCGACAAGTAGAAGTCTACCTAAGTTGGGTAGAGATTCGACCTGAGGCCAGACGAAACATCGAACAACTCCATTTGTGCTTAATCAAGCGGCGGATGTTGACACGAAATCTCAACTAGGGTAACGTACACAGGTATATCAAAGCCTAAGGAGTGCACAAGCACGAGATTAAAATTTAATTTTGTGTATTCCCAGCAACGGTACATCCCACATCAATAAGATAGAAGGATACGCAAGATGCTGTAGATAAGTATGAATTCTCGTCAAACCAATAACCTATGTTTTGAAATCCAAACAAAATTGTCACAAGAAGAGCTCAAGAATAGAGACAGACGTAAGAGTACAAGGAGACATACCTGCGAGAGACTAATGTTGCAATAGGCAAGGGTTTTATATCCCAGATTCATCGTCGTGTTTTTATACTTTTTGCGTTTCTGAAGGAGGATTTGCAGAATGTTAGAGTCCAATTTGAGAATATGAGAGTACTGAATAGTACAGTTGAGGTCGATGGGAATGTAGGCACCAACACAGCGGGTACCTGAATTGGCGGCTGTAGCGGAGACGGTGGAAGATGAGGGGTGTTTGGGTAAAATGAGGCTAACTTCAGGGGAGCGCAGAATGCGACGTGTGTTGCCGCGCATTCTCAAGGCAACGTAAACACCGCTGGAAGAATTTTCACCTAGATCAATTGGTCTGTCCAGGATTATCTGTCCTATTTGGATGTGGCAAAGCCTGTAGAGGAGAATGCAATGAGATGATGATTAACGTCGGGCCACTCAATAAAGGCAAAATATCCAGCGACTTAGCAAATGGGAACGCAAATTATAACAAGGGCTCAGCTAAAAACATCAAATCGGAATAGCCCATCCAAAAAGACTCATGAACTTTGTTCCTAAAAGCCTATAGTTTGAAGCTAGTTAATCACAAAGGCAAGAGGAGGGATAAGGTAGTTGGAAGGCATAAACTCGTAAACAGTCAAGGAGCAAGGATAAAACTAGCAAATAGTAACAAGAAGAATGCGATACATGAGTGACCCAAAGTACTCAAATGACAAAAACACCAAAGAAGTAGGATAAGAGCAGCCCAGATTTTAGGATTAACGAAGATGAGAGAAAATTAGTGAGAGCAACGAAAGCAAAGGAAACAAACAACGAACCTTCGAACAGAACAGGATGAAGACTTTTCCACTTCCCAAATAGCTGACATTTTCATGGATATCATTGTCAGTCCACCGTTCCAAAATAACGATAAACCGATAAAGGATAACCTTGACACAAGAGGTTAAGAGAACCCACGCGCCACTAAAACGTTTACATAAATATCATAAATAAATTAAAAAATACCAAAACAGGCGTTCATGAATAAAAATACATAAAGTTAGCTTTAAAGGAAAAAACTATACAGATACATAATAGCATTATTATTTTTATCTTAGATAGAGATAAAGCATGTAATACTAATTACAACTAATTAAAAATGTGATCGAGGGAGTCAGTGACTGCACAAATTATTGACAGCGACTGCATATCATCAAAGCTCTTACTATGTATTAAGGCATAAAGCGAGAGTATAAGTTAGATATTTTAATGGGAAGAATAGTAAAGCTTTCTGTTTAGCTTGAAGCTCAGCCTAGTGCGTCATTGTGTGCAATACTCTATGTTTTTAACTATCTGTGAAATCGGTGGTCACTGTGGTGGCCCACCTGATTTTGCTTTGATGACTGGTCCTCATTCCAGACCATAGCCTCTTTCCAGCACTTTCTGGTTTATAATAAGTATTTAGCCACGCTCAGCGCCTTCTTTGACTTAGTAAACAGCTTTATGACGTTACAGAGATGATGATGGAAGGCATACCTGATTACAGTCTGACTTTGGTACTGGTTTTTACCGTTAAGAGCAAAAACTTCACCGGTGTGAATGAGATGCATGTTACCTCCAGCGAGAGAGTATATGACCCCTCCTTAAAGGACGAGTTTGGAACAACTTCTTCGCTTAGCATCTGCACTGTCCCTTTGTTTTACCAGAAAGCAATTAAGAAACGCTGAAAACAACTGGGAAGAGTTTCGTCTTGAAGTGCCTTTTGCCAAATTGCGTATAGATGTCGGTGATACACTCACGCCAAACTCCTGTCTACACGGGATTGTAGTCAATGCCATTCTCCTTGTCCAGCTTTGTGTTTTAAGCCAGTGTTTCAAGGTCTGGTCTCAAAACACAATCAATAATTGTACTACTTTACTTATGTGATTGAATGATGTTTGGCGGTGACTGGTAGTCGTGTGGCCCTTGTAAGCGTGGATCAAGTACTGTCTTATCCCATTTCTTTCCTTAGTATACATACATTCATCCTAATATGATGCTTTTTTTCTACTCGGTAAGAGATTTTCTGCCCTTGATTCCTTTATTTAGGACTGATGTGCCAATCGAAGCTGCTGAGAGGATGAAGTATATTCGCCATTCCGTTTGAATGTAATGTCTGGCCCAGCTGGCTCGAGGGTGTTTTCTTGAAACTCCAAAGACGTTGATACGGCTGGTGGAGATGTTGTAGCTCTCTGAGACTTTCCACTGGGCAGAGGAAGGCACTACTTTGGGCTGATTACACAATATTTTAAGGGAAAAATGGAGTCAAGCTTGAGCTTGGCTCGAAGGTCAATCCAGGCGTACAAAGGCCAAACGAATACCAAAGTGACTACCAGAAATAAGGTGATTACATAAGCAAAGCGATGCAGAAAGTCTAGCAACCATGGACCAATGAGTTTGTTGGAAGGATGGGAAGAGCAAAGTAGTGCTTTGTATATCTGACTACTTGTATGAAAAGAGGTTGCTTTATCATCCCTCTCATTTCTGCGTATATGGTGATCTTTGAGTCAGACCATAGCCTTGAATTTAATGTTGTTTTCAAAATACAAGTTTGATGCCACACTTGCCATCTTTACTACCAAATGAATAGTTTTAAGACGTTAAAATACCATCTCAGAATTTTCGTAGTCGATACCAGTACCCATGAAAAACAAGGTGTTTTAGAGCTTTTGTCAGCTTTAGGCTCCTCACTGCAGCGTCTCTAAACTTCCCAGTGGGTAATGAAAGGCATAAGTCTTGGTTAAAAACTTGAAATCAGGCAGAAAGTTAGAAGTTGAGCTCTGGTTTGACCCAAAAGTCAGTCCTACTCGCTAAAGCATGGTGAACACAAAAGTAACCCATGGACACAAAGGCAGTCAAGTGAGCGAAGCATCTAATATAAACTAGTTACGTGAAATCGCTTTAGGACCACTACACTCAGGTCCAATAGTGGACATGCGAGATTAACATCGCATCGAACTTCCTTTAATCAATGTCATAAATGGGACAACTTTAGACGAGATCGAACTACTTTCTACACCCGCTAATATTTTGGTTAGGCTTCTTATAGCTTCACGCAATTTTGATGACAAATAAGTTTATCCTTCAATGTTTGGTTTCTGACTGCTAATAATGTTCTGATGATTACTCAGTTAAAGTTTAGTCGTAACTTTTTCCTTACCAAGAGCTTGCTTTATTAGAAGAGCACTAAATGTAGCTCGTTCCGATTCACTCACATCACCCTACATCAAAGTCTTCTTAGATGGAAGATGGATTGACAACGAGTCGTTAGTCCTCTCTATATGGGGTACGATCAAAAGGAGTAAAGGTAAATTAGAGATATTCAAGCTAATCCAGAGATGAGTCTCCATGTCCCGCCTACACAGCGTTGCAATCGAATCCGCTTCCCTCCCTGAAAAGTACAACTTAAGCGATTAAATGAGTTACACTAAGAGCCTTTAAATTTTGGTTTCCCTATGTGGCATATGCCAAAAGCGTCTCAACTAAGCCCAACCTCTAGCCTGTCAGCAACATTCGAGCTTTGAATTTTACGTCTGATCGAAATCCTAGCTAATCAATTCGATCTGCCCTGTGAGCTATACTAATGGTTTTAGTCCCATTTGTACATGAAAAATTTATGACTTATGCTACTCATTTATAAGTATAATGGCGTTTACTTTGTATACAAAAGGCTTAGTAATAATGAACTTAGCTTAACTTAATAGCAACCAGGTTTTAGTAATGCAGTAAAGGTAAAAAAAGTTAAAGAAACTACTAACTGAGAATTGGGTTAGGGGTTTTTTATTCAAGCACAGCTACTGATACAAAAAATTTTAATGTGTGGATCAGGGATCCCATTGATGAATTTGTTTCAATTTGCTCCTAATTTGTTTAAGAATTCCTTCAATGTTAGCATACATTAACCGTTATTTGGCAGAATAATTCGATTTTAGTTGACATGGGTTTAAATTTGGTCTTGAATCCTTGATTGGTCAATGCATAGGATTTTAGGGCGCGTCTGGACTGCCTTCGGTTACTCACGTGTTTGGTTTTGCCCCAATAGCATTCGCCTGCTTTGCTTGCCTGCAATGTCCGGGGATGTTTTGTTTGATGACGGACTTTCCGCAAGGGAGTTGTTCGGTGAACAAGCTGGAATTACTTACAAGTATGCATTATCTACCTAAAATATTTCTGTATCTCCAGTATTCGTTAGCATTATTTGATGCCTATGGTACTGTTATCTCTGGCACTTTGATTTCATCGTCCCTCTGCTCTTACAATCAATGCATTTTATGGAATTAGTAGCTGTATTAATATCCTACCCTGGGTAACTTTGATACTTTTTTCCAATTACAGTGACTTTATTATACTACCGGGATATTTGGATTTCCTTGCTAAGGACGTCGATCTCACAGCTAGATTAACTAAAAACATTGATATAAAACTCCCTCTTATATCTTCACCAATGGATACTGTGACTGAAGCCGACATGGCCATCGCAATGGGGGTAAATTTTCTCTAATTATATTCCTCTTTTCTAGCTGTGTGGTGGTGTCGGTGTCGTTCACCATAACTGCTCCATCGACTATCAAGTTAATGAAGTAAGGAAAGTCAAAGTAAGACCTGCAGAACTCTTCGCTATAATCACCACCCACGTTAGAAATATGAGCAAGGGTTCATAGTGGATCCCATCGTGCTGGGACCAAACAACACTCCAGCTGATGTCCTCAAAATCAGAAAAGATCACGGATTTAGTGGAATTCCTATCACTGATACGGGAAAGATTGGTGGCAGACTTCTTGGTTTAGTAACTCTCAGAGACATAGACTTTTTGGATGAAAGCCAACTGGGGTGTCCTGTTACTGAGGTTAGTAGTTGCTTTTTTTTCTTATTTTGGTTTTACCTCATTGATTAACTAAATAGTAGCGTTTAGGTTATGACACCATTCGATTCGCTTGTCACAGCGAATCATGGAATTCATCTTTCTGAAGCCAACAAAATCATGCAAAAGAGCAAGAAAGGTAAGTTTGGAATGCTTAAAACTCAAAGACGTTGGAGCTTTGTTAAAACGCTTTTATTACCACAGGTAAACTTCCAATCATTAACGAAAACAATGAACTTATTTCTATCGTTTCTCGAACCGATTTGAAGAAGAATTTGAAGTATCCTCTCTCATCTAAAGATTCAAGGTTGGCGTCCATCCTCCCCGTTATTTATGTATTCGCTCAAGGTTTGCTTATGAATAGATATCATCAGAGGGTTTGTGCTGAGGCTTACATTGTTTTCAACCTGTTTCACATTCTTACGAATTCAAATTCTATTTTTTACCGAATAGCAACGTTACCACTGGTTGAGATTGAAGTGAATGTTTTTCTGGACTTTTTTTGCTTTCGAGACTAAGCAGTGGTTGATTTGTACTGCTTAATGGTAAGTGTCAGCGTTGTGCTTGAAGAGCGCTGTACTTGATTTACGGTTGCCCGCTTTCCCTCGAGACTAGTAGTGAAGACGTTAGTGACTGTTCTGATACACCATCTTTCAGCCACGATCTACCACACCATCTGTCATCTGTGCCCACAGACAGAGGCGAGCTTGGTTCGATTGAACCCTTCCATCTGTGAAAAGTTTGGCCGAGTTGTTAAGGTACAAAATGCAAGGTATTCGAAAATCCTATGGCTGGTGCTATTTAGAACACCGTTGACTTGGATAGCTATATAACTTAGTCCTTTGGTGGAGCGCTGTTTGCAAGCCCCAAATGTCGCATTCTCATTTTCGATTTCAGGAAACGCATTTTGGTCGGTGGAGCTATTTCGACACACGCTGATGGTTGGGACCGCGCGGAAGCCCTTCTTGGCGCTGGGGTCGACTTTTTACTCCTGGTGATTTTATTGAAAGTTCCTTCCTCTAAATTATTTATGCTTTCTGCTCCAGGATAGGACTCGATGTTCATTCGTGGCTCCGAAGAGGTGGTAAATCGCCTATTTTTGTCTGGCGGGCTTGAAGATAACAAACTAGACTGCCGATAGTGAACGGCATTTGTTCATTTCGCTAGGCTCATATGCTATTTGACTCCGAAAATTCAATGCATCTCATGGTTAGGTGCGGGCTGCTTGATTCTGACTTAAAGAATAACATGCAGCCAGAACTGATTTGGCTTAGTGGTTTAGTCATACTTCGAAATGCAAATGTTTATTCAACCTCAATTTGAATGGTCTCAGTCGGGCCTCTTAATGAATGGCTTTATCACTAATCAAGGTGATGTTCTTTAAGCAGCCATGCTTGTGGTCTTTCCACGTTACATTACCTCGAAGAAAGGACTGACTACCCATGCCTTTGAAGGTTATCCCTGCAGGGACACATTTGTGGACTGACGTCTCATCAATCGGAAGTGGGTCGCATGCTTTGCAGCCATGAATGGTTGTTATTAGTAATTTTTTTGCGTCTTTAGGATTCTTCACAGGGCAACAGTACTTTTCAGTTGGACATGTTGAAACGGCTTAAATCCGCCTACCCCCATGTCGACGTGATTGCCGGCAACGGTATGTGCTACCCTTCTCGCCTAGTTGGGCTAATTTCACGAGCCTATATTAAGGCACGGTTTCACGAAGAACTTCCTGCTGTAAACTTGGACACCAAACTTCCGTGGTCGTGTCCGGTTTCCTAATCATGTCACATCCTTTCTCTAGGATGTTTACTGATTCTGACGGAAAAGGTTACCACTTCCGTGATTACGTACTCGCGGCAGATCATATTAAGTGGTATTGAGTCTACTTTATCAGACAGGAGTGTGAGTTTTGTAAAGTCGATATTGCTCCTGACCTAAGCAAAAGTTAGCACCACCTTCTCTGCGGAGGAAATTGAAGAACCAGCAAGGACTTCTTTGGTTCATTTTGGCGTCCGTTCCAGGATGAAATGATACGTATGACGATGTCTGACAGCGGGACATAGGCGTTACGCAAAGTGTGACGTAGGCACTGCAACACGTCACACCATCAAGTTTAATGTATTCTGTTTAAATTGACCACCCCTCGTACAGTGGTGACATTACGTTTGTGAACGTTTAGGTGCTGTTTTGTTTAGTTTGAAGTAGAACTCGTAATTGATGGTTCAGCTTAATTCGCTCCTCCGAAGCGGGACTGGTGTGGCTTGAAAAAAAGCCTTAGTCAATTAATCATAACTGAACGGAACTCGTTTCCGTAGACGTATATTAATTCTCTGAGGGGACAATCGGAAGACTTTCATTCTATTAACTGGTTGCATATTTTCATGCTCTGGTTGTCGTGCCCCACAAAGTAGGTTGTTTGTTTTTTTCCCACTTACATTAAAACCATCCGAGTTTGCTGTCGTTAAGACGAATAATAATTGATGCTTATAAACGAAATCAGTTCTTAAAGCCAACGGTTCGTCCGAGAGTCGCCACTTTTCTCTTTGGATGTGGAAAACAAACTTTTAAAAGCATTATTGAGAAACTGAGGGCTTGTTTACCGTCCCAGCACGACTCTCTACTCGTGATAGACGAAGGTTGGCGTTGTTTAATGCAGTACTTTGGCGATAACTGAGATTTAGCAGCCCTCTTACCAAAATCGGGATTGTAGATTTTGTCCTCCAGTTGGAGCTAAACTGACCTAGGCTTTATGTTAGCTTTCTTAGCGAATTATCAAGTGGTCGCAATGATCATGAATGGTGCCTCTAAAGGGCAGTTGAAAGTCACAACATCTGGGCGTTGATGGGTCAGGCGCAGCGTTCTCCGTCCCTACTTTTAAACCGCATCGAAAATGCAGTAAATGGAAATGTATGGTGAATTTGAAGCAGTGCTACCCAAATGGGTATTCGTCTCCTTTTTTTTTCATAGAAATGAACTCTTGAGCTTTTGTCACTACATGTCTGAAAGCTTTCATCCAACTGGAGTAGACAGGGTTAAGCAGTATTACATCAACAGATGGTCATGCCCTGCCTTTTGGGAGGTAATTACTCCGACAATCCAATAGGATAGAGCCACAAGGGACATTGGCACGATTTATTTGTCTTAGTTATTGCGATGTTATCGCTAGTCTTGGTGACTTTATGACAATGCCATTTTATCTCAACACGCTCCCCATCTGCGGGACTTATTACATGGTTGAGCTTACACGCTTAATCTATTTGTCCTCAGATCGCAAGCTTTAATGTCTTGGTTAAAATCGCCGTTTTACTGCCACCGGTCTCTCAAACTCGATAAAGGGGTGTAGGAGTTGTGGCTAATACTAGCGTCTGAGCCTCTTCATAAATCAAGTCTGAGTACAGTCTCACCACTCTGGTCTCTCAAAATCCTCTACTCATTTACATCACTTTGACCGATCACTTTTGCGGTCTCTTAATTCTCCAGAGCGCGTGCTCACTTGCCTTCACTCATCGAGCCGTTACTCTAGTTTTACATTTTCAATTTATAGTTCGAACTGGTTTTTCTGGATTCGGCAGGCCAAGCTGACGGACAGTCACAACTTCAAGAGACCATTCACGAGCCTGATTTTGGTTCATTCTTGCTCCCTTCTTTGGTTAGGTTACAGACGTTTAATTTCGGTGTTAACAGTCTCGAGTTTCTTCAGTTTCAAAAACTGAGCATGGGCTTCTTTGCGACAGCCTTGTATTGTCAGTGCCTCTGAAGGAGCCTCGACTACCCTCGTCCCGATGTTCTACTTTTCCATCGTGTATAATGTCGGTATTTGTTGATCAACTTGGCTGGTATTCGGAAAAAGGACACCTTTTTTACCGTTGTTGAGACAATCCAAAGGCAGGTTTTTATTGCAAGTGATACGAGGGATTGGTCCGAATTGTCTTTATAAGCTAACAAAGAACCCATTACGCCAGGCTCGGAT